GAACTGGTTGGTGCACATTAAAATCATTTAAGAAGATATTAGGCTTTAGAACTTCTTCCCCAGACGATCCTATTTAACTGGTCCAAGGTTGGGACCTGGACACTTGCAGTTTTAAAACATTTTTTTTGGCCCTAACAGTTTGGCTCGGATAGAGAGAGCATCAGCCTGCGGACTAAAGGGTCCCAGGTTCGATTCCAGTCAAGGGCACATGCCCGGGTTGCGGGCTCGATCCCCAGTGGGGGGCATGCACGAGGCAGCTGATCAATGATTCTCTCTCACCATTGATGTTTCTATCTTTCTCTCCCTTCCTCTCTGAAATCCATAAAAATATATTTAAAAAAAGAACTTGTTGAAAATACTGTTTCGTTGTAAATGTTGTTAAGCTCTTTCTGTAAAGGATCAGATGGTAAACATTTTAAGTTTGCCAGACCACATACTTTAGCCCCATCTTCTCCTTTTCCAAACAACCCCTTACTATGAAGAAACAGCTGGAGGCTGGAGAAACACAGGCTGCAGGCTGGATCAGGCCCATGCGCGTAGGTTGCTGACCCCGGGAGTCTTACTCACCTTGCCTGGGGACTTCTGGGTGTGAAGGTGGCTCGGTGGGCAGGGGACTGGTGGTGGCACTGGGGGTTGGGGTGGTGGCTGGCCTTGAGGAGGGGGTGCCAGGGCCCACGTCTGCTCCCTCAGAGGCCCTGGGCCCAGCCTCCTCATGTTCCGCGGAGTTGGGCTCGGGCGGCCTGCCCTCCTCCCTGGGCGACAGCTGTTCCAGCCAGGAAGTGCCCCTGAGGGCGTTGTCTGTGGAGAGAAGACCCTGCGCTCACCTCCTAGCAGCACCTGCTGCTCCCGGCTCCTCCCCAGGCCGGCAGGCGCCCAGCTCTGGGGCCATGCGGAGGACAGGGGAGGCCTGGGGAGCGAAAGGCCTCGAAAGGTGGGCTTCGTGGGCAGCAGACCAGCTCGGAGCCCCCCAGCTGAGTGGCCTCAGCTTCCCCTTCTGTGAAGTGAAAGGCCCACCGTGTTAGGCTGTGGTGCTCATTATAGGAAAATGTGTGCATTTGCACAGATTCTGCCAAATACAAGACCTCTTTCCTCCCAAGTGTCAGACACATTGTGCCAGTTATTTCATTTCCTAGATTCAGTTCCAGGAGGCAGAAAGCCATCTCCGGACATTCTCCCAGTCCTGTCCCCTGGAACCCACCCTCAGGTTTCTCTTACCTAGTATATGACACTTCTAGCCAGAGGGGCGGGTGCAGCCAGCTTCCCGCCACCTTCCAGACCCCAGCCCCTGTCTTTCTCTGTCCCCTCATTTCCCATCTCCCATCTCTCAGCTTTCTTGGCAACCCCTTCCCCTCTTCCCCACCCCTATGGGCACGGGTTTTGCTCACAGGAGGCCTTTTTCAGCACGCGTGGGACCTGGTTTGGAGCCACCTGGGTCATCCCTGACCCACATACACTTCTCCAGGCTGGGTTGGGTCAGGTCTGGAAAGCAGACTCAATGACACACAGAAAGGGACAAAGACCCCTCAGCGCTGGGGACAGAGCTGTGAAAGGGTCCAAGGCAAGCTCTGCAGTCTGCTGACCTGGGTTCCAGTCCCAACAACTCGCTGTGAGACGTGGAGCCAGTCACTTCGCCTCTCTGAGCTGGGTCAAGGATGATACCGAGTGAAAGTAAGACAACTGTGATGCCGGGGACAAAGGAATGGTGTTGCTGTGACGGAGTGGGGTGCACTGAGGGCCTGGACTCCAGGACCAGGCCCTGATTTCTTCCTGGCCTGGGCTTCCTCTCTGCACAGAGATGTAGCCACGACTCACTGCAGGGCAGCCCCTGGGGTCTCTCAGGAAAGGGGCACACCCTCTGGTCGGGGGGCCTCCTGGGGCCTGGCTTGGGCAGCCTGCCAGGGCAGGGGCTGTTCCCACGGGCCTCGCTGGCAGAGTCAGATGCCTGCAGCTGTTCTTGGGCAGTGTCCCAGCCAGGGGTCAGAGGCTCCGTGCCGCCCAGGCTGAGCTGGCAGGACTCAGGGCCAGCAGCTGGCACCGGGGGCTGAGGGGGTCTCCCCTGAGCCCTGAGAAACCAAGAATTGAGGGGGCTCTTGAAGGAGACAGGCTCCTCACAGTCCCCCCTCGCAGCTCCCTTGGACATGGGCTGGGCAGAGGGCCTTATGGGAAGGTGGTCAGCAGGACCCAGGAGAGGGGAGCAGGCTCGGGACATTCTCAGGGACATCAGAGAAGAGCAGGCGTCTGCAGAGGGTCTGGGAGGAAGAGCCAGGAGCCACACTGGTGGTGGTGGCCCAGAAATTTGGCTACTCTTGGAATTTTGTCTCTAGTTAATTACTTTGTTGTCCTTCACTCTGATCCACCAAGGGCTGCAGGGAGAATACAGGTGTCTGTGGGCTCTTCTTTGGGGAGTGAGAAGTGGGAGGTGCCGGAGAGGCCATCCATCCCAAGGCCAGTCTGGAAACATGAAGTGTCCCAAAGGGCCCACGTCACGTTTGGGAACCCGGGCCTGGCTGCAGCCCCTGCGTTCTCACCCCACCTGTGGCAGCTGCCTGGCCATGGATTCGGCTTTTCCCACTAGACTCCATATTAGGCAGAATCTCTGGACAATGCAGCAAGTACACAGTGGACCTGCAGCAAATCTTTGGATAAAGGAGAAGTCCAGTGAGGGTGGAGATGCTGTGAATCTGGAAAGGAACTGAGTGGCCCATGGTGTTGATTCTATCATTCCATCCGCACAACCCCATGAGGAGATATTATCCCACCGTGTGCATGAGCGAAGGGCACCAACAGGCAACCAGCGGAGTTGAACTCTGGGGCTGTAGAGGAGACCCTGGTCCCTGTGGGACCTCCTTGGGCTGTGGCCAGCCATCAGTAAGCCCCCCTCCCCAAGGTTTCAACCCCTCTCTAACTCACCAGCCTCGGTCACCTCCCTGCTGCCCGCCTTGTAGTAGGTGATGCCTCGGATCACCGCCTGCTGCTGGGCCAGGGCCCGGGGCCTGACTGTGGGCTGAGGGAATCGGCCCTGGCCACCGTCCTTTCTCAGCTTCTCCACCTTCAGCAGCTTCTCCTTAGGAGGTTTTGGGAGGCCCCTGTCTGCGAAGCTCTTCTGCGTGCTGCCGTATTTGTTGCTGTCTTTGCCTTTCCCTCCAGCTGTGTCCTAGGAGAGAAGGGAAATCTCAGACTTGGGGCTGGTAGAAGGGATATTTGGGGGTGTCATGGAGGCTCAGCATGTGAGGGCTGGAAGGACTCAACCCACCTGTGGCAGCTGCTTGGTCATGGATTTGGTGCTCAGTGTACCCCATGCATCCCAGGTGCTCATAGCCACAGCTTTCCTCCCATAGTGGCTACATCCATGACCGGGGTGTACCTGTTTCCCCACTCGGCTCTCTAGCTCCCCTGCAGGCTTGACGGCCAGCCTGGTGGGTTAGATTCCTGTCCCATTTCCTAACTCCTATCCACTGCCCAAAGGGGTTGACTGCAATAGTCAGCTCCATGGGGAGGTAGCGACCACCAGGTCAGCTTCTCATCTCTGTCTCTCTCACTCACTGGTCTTTGATGGGCAGAGGAGGGGTTCTCAGGCCCACGGCAAGGTGACCAACTCCTCCCAGTGTGCCTGGAACTTTCCCGTCTCAGCACTGAAAGTCCGCATCCTGGGAACCCTTCAGCCCTGGGCAGACGGGCACACCTGGGACGGTTGGTCTCCCAGGCATTGCCCTTAGGGCATGCAGTTCCTAACATTTCGTAAATTTTGTTCTTTTCCTTCCCTTTTAAATGCCCTTGGTGCTGGCTTGGCACAAGAACACAGGGCCTGTGACGTCAACCTCCGTTAGGCAGAGCAAGGACAGAATCTGGACTCTGCGTGGTTCATTCACGCCTGTGGAACTGGCAGGAGAACAAGCAGAAAGCCAGCTCTGGGCCAAGGCTCCAGCCCTGGGTGGTTCCGGTTCAGATGCCAATGGTCCCAACATCACAATGTCAGCGCAGGAGGCCGAGGGTGGCAATGGAGGGCATGGGCTCAGCAGGCACACAGCCCATTCTGGTCCCAGTGCAGACACCCTCTCCCCACGGTCCACGTTTCCTCATCGGCAAAATGGGCGATGAGCATCCCTCCTGGCAGGTGGCTATGGGGTGAACTAAGATGATGTCTGTGAGGGAGTCGGGTTCAATGCAGGAATCTACAACAGCAGCTCCCTCCATCCCCCACTCACCAAAAACAAGGCCGCCCGCCGTGAGTGGTGCGGGGTGTGTCCTGCACACAGGTGACTGGCGAAAGGGCACGAATGGGGCTGACATCCGGTCTTACTCCATTAGCCAAGCCTCACGCCCTGGTGTGTCCTCAATGGAAGGAGCCTTTGTACGATCTGTCCACTCAAGGGGGCTACTCTTTCTAATTTATCTGCCCAGAGGGACGCCCTTTTCCTCAGTGTGTTTGCCTGCAGGAGGGCCTTTGTCAAATTTGCACAACGGTGTGTTTTATGTGAAGGGCGGCTGTGCCTGTGACAAACCTCTGCTCACTTTGTGCTCCGAGCTTGAGCACGGAATGTCTGGGAGTTTGCTGCAGGAGTCCTTAACCCCAGGTTGGGTTGGAGGATGTGGCATTACTGTGCAGGGATCCGTGAGGCATTGCCCATCTACCACTGAGCAAACTTGACCCAGACAGCGGCCCAGCCACAGCAGGGGCGGCTAGAAGTGGTTGGCTGCAACAGACCTGGTCTCCCAGGGCCAGGCAGGCAGGGTCATCCCGATGACCCTGTCCCCACGAGTTTGGAAATGGGAATGAGAATTCTGCCAAGTGCTTGGCTCAGGGAGCGGACTCCTCGGCTAGATCCCCGCGTCTGCTCCCACCCAGCTCACCTGGCCGATGGTGCTCACTGAATAGCAGGCACCCTCTGCACCCGCCCTGCCATGGACGCTCCAGCCCTCAGCCCTGTCCTGCAACCCCAGACCCACCCAGCTGCCCTCAGGGCTGAGGCCCTGGCACACTATGCTCCCAAGTCCAGCCACAATCAGAGCCATGGTCTCACCTGAGCCTTGCTACCAGGGCCGGGGGCAGGGGCGGGGGCGGCGGCAGGGGCTGTGGCCGAGTCCTTCTGCAGCAGCTGGAGGCCCAGGCTGGAGAGCTCCTTCTTGATGCTCAGCATGATGGCCGACTGGTTCTCGTAGTGCTTCAGCTGCTCGCTGAAGTGGCGCATGCTCTCCCTCATCACCTCGTTCTCGCGGCTCAGGTTGGCCTTGATGCTCTGTGGGGGCGGACCCGAGGTCTGTCCAGCCTCCTCTGCTGGCCGCCCCACCCCGCCTCCTGGGGGGACACCCCGGCTCCTGCCATGGGGCTTTGCTGCCCATTCTCACGGGCAGGGGCAGCACCAGCGAGCAGGGCTGGAGTAAAGCCGCTAAAAGGCCCTGTCGTTATTCTTTATTTTAAAAGCGAATGAATGAAAAATTAGATGAAATATGTTCACAGTGCTACATTGAAAAGATACAAACGGGTATAAACTACGTCCTCCTCCCACTTTTGTCTCTCAGCCAATTATTATGGATTTTCCTTTTTTCTTCCCTAACACTTTGCTTTTTCACTTGAGCCGATCTTGAGAACTCTCCCACGTCTGTGTATATAGTGCTGGCCATTCCTTTTCTGGACGCACAGTCTGCCACCGTATGAATTCGTCATTTAAGTTGCTACTTTAAAATCACCTCTTAATTTCACAAGAGATACATAAATACCTTCTTTTAATAACATGCTCAAATAATGAAACTCTGGGGTTTTGCGATGGGTGAGACGCTGATCCCTCCTGGTCCCCAGTCTCCTCCCACTGCATTGAGCACCGCTTTTCCTCCCAGGTTTCTGCTCCTGCCCACCTCTCCCCCACTTGCTGGGGACCCCCCCTGGTTTTAGCAGCCCCCATCCACCCCCTCATGGTCCTTGGTTCTGAATCCGTCTGGAAACAGGACTGCTCAGAATCTCCGCGTTCTCTCTGTGATCCCCCAACCCAGGGGTCCCCATCGCCAGGCTGTTGCCCAGGCTGACCTTGTCCGTTGGGCAGGACTCAGGGAAGCTGGGTGGCCCTGTCTCAGCCCCAGGTCCCTAAAGCCCCAGCGGGCCTGGGTCTGTATGGAATTCCTGTGTCAAGTCTACTTCTCAGCTGAAGCAGGAGAAATGAGAGTCGGATGCAGGAAGCGCCTCTTTGCTGTGCAGCCCTGGAGCGTCCGACTCTCACTGGGCGAAATGTTTACGGAGGAGAAGATAACCTGGGTGTGGGCAGGTTCAGGGACCAAGAGGCCGCAGGCAGGAGTCGGACAGAGCTGGGTTCAAATCCTTGCTCTCCCCTTCCTGGCTGAGTAGCCCTGAGCTGGTGACTTGACCTCTCTGAGCCTGGGTGTCCTTGCCTGTTAAATGAGGATCTTTACCACAACAACTAAATATCAGGGTGACGCGCAGAGATGCTAAGAACAAGAAAGTGAGTTCTAAACTAGATCGCCCGGAAGACAGAAGTCACCTGGACAAGGCGAGTTTCTCAGCCTCAGCACTGCTGACACTGGTCAGGCAGCTGTGATTTGGGGGGGGGGCGGTGGGGGGGTGTCCTAAGCATTACTGTGCATTACAGGATGCTTACCAGCATCCCTGGCACCTACCCAACTAGAAGCCAATAAATAGCATCCACCACCCACTCCCCCAAACGGTAACAACCAAAAATGTCTCCAGATACTGCCACCTGTCCCCTGGGGAGCAGAGGGCCCTGGTTGAGAACTTCTGTTGCAAGGGAAGAGGGAGAGGCGCCCAGCTCCTCCGAGCGAGGCTGTGCTCCCCAGTCCTCCCAGGCTGGCAACAAGCTTTGTCGTATCACTTAGTGAACAGAAGCAAAGCACAGATAATGCAAAACAGGAGAGAATTAAAAATCATTTCCTTGCGGCTGTGGAAATCATTTCTGATTTGTCCCAGGCCCAGCAGACATCCCCTCCAGATTGTCTGGCTCCCAGTTGTGTGAAGTGCGTTAACATTTCCTTCGATTACAAGCGGAAAACTCAAAGGGTAACTGTTGAGTCAGCAAGAGGAGAGCCTGGCATGCACTAGGTGCACAGGAAACACTGGTGCCAGTAGAAATACAGTCGGTATTGCCTTTCTCCCATGTTGGCATAGGCCTGGCACATAGTAGATACTCGCCAAACACTTGTTGAGTAATTAAAGCCACTGTGACCCCAACTTTAGGGTTAGTAAGGGGTTAACCTCCCACCCTGGGCACAGGATGCCCAGGTGCCCCCTCCCTCTGGAAAGGAAGCTGGGAAAGGAAGCCCCCACGCCCGCTCCTGGCAGCTGCATGTCCCAGGCTCCCAGCAGAGGCCGGATGCAGGAAACAGGCGGAGGCCAGGCCGTGCCAGCAGAGATGCAAACCTCGAACCTGCAGCCTGGAACCTCTGCTCGCCCAACTCTGTCCCTGTCCTCGGGGGGCAGTCCTAGCCGCCTGCCCGTCCTCCAGCCCAGTGGCCCTTACCAGGAGAAGACACTGTCTCCGTGGTAGGTGCCTTGAGCCTGGCCCCCGTGGGTTCAGCCAGTCACGGGGCATCACCATGATGCACCATCTCAGGGGGGGCACCACTCACGAGGCATTTATGAGCAGGGTGGCCCTGAAGTTTGCAATGTGTGGGTCCTGGTCTTGGTGAACTGAGGGCAAGTGCAGGTTCCAGCCCCCTCCCCACCCCTTTCATACAAGCAGCGGGTGCCTCAGTTTCTCCACCCAGCCTTCCAGTTTCCCGCAGGCCCTGGAGCCCGTCAGACCTCTTCCCCACTGTCTCCCCCTCCCAGCTCTGCTGGAGTCCAGCTTTCAGCGGCCACCGGGGTCAAGATAGACCCTGCCCAGCCCCCAGCACGGTGCCAGCCTGGCCTCTGGCTCGAGCCCCACTCTTACCTCTTCCAGCGTGTCCATCTGGGAGGCCACCTTGTGGACGTAGGCGTGCACTCTCATCAGGTCCATGCTGTACAGGGCGCCCTCCAGGAGATCCACCATGGACTGCAGCTGCCCGGGGAAGGGCAAGTCAGGGGGAGGGCAGAGCGCAGGACCCGCATGAAGGGTGCAAGGAGTCCCACCTCGGCGCAGAACTCCAGGGGCTCAGAATGGCCTGCGTGGGCCCTCGGCACCCACTAGACCTCGCCTGCTAATAATCACGAGAAAAGCAGCAGATCCCATCTTTTGAGTGCTTACCACATGGCAGGCACGGTGCTAGGGGCTTTAATGGGCTATTTCACATAATCCTCACAACACCCACAGAGGTACTAGAGGCAGCTCTAACCATAACTCCCTGGGGACCCCCCCTACTGTTTCTTGTGCCCATGCCCGGCTTCCAGGGGCCTCTCTGGACCGGCCTGCATCCGTGACTCTCTTCAAAGAGCCACTCTGCCTCCAGAGTGGCTGGGAGCATATGTCCTCCTGGCAATGTCTGACTGGTGTGGGCATCTAAGGGCCATCATTGATACTCCAGCGTCCCCTGGGGCTGAGGCCGGCACTTGGCCTGTGGCCACAGCCCTGCTGGGCTGCCTTCCCTTCCTGCCCCCACGTCTCCCACTTTGGTACGAGCTTCTCCCGCACACAGATCACTCGCCTCAGGGTCTGCTCTAGGGACACAACCAAAGACAGGGTTTGGACACCTTTTGTCTTCATCGTATAAATTGGGAAGCTGCACCTTAGAGAGGGGAAGTGACTGCCCAAGGCCACCCAGGTGCTCTATGCTGGGGCCTATCACGCTTTACTGCTCCTGTTTTGTGTTCAGATGGGGAAACTGAGGAAAAGAAAGAAGAGGGTGGGGCCTGCACAGCAGGTCAATGGACGATGCTGGGTCTCCAGACCAGGGCTCTTCACTATAGCGGCCCCTCCCCTACCCCTCGCTCTCACACCTCATCAGGATATGTCATTTCCCTCCAGATGGCTAGGATGACAGCAAGTGTCAGGGACAAGGGGCTGGCTGGGAAATCAGCTTCCCTGGCTCCTGGGCAGGGCAGCTCCTCCAGCCGTCCTCCAGCACGGCCCACTCCCAGTCCTGCAGCATTTCTCAGGGCCCGAGCAGGCCAGGGCTCCCGGCTGGCCCCGGGCCACTGCTTCCTAAACAGTTTATTCCCATCCTCCCAGGGGTATTCAAGCTGTTTTAAGCAGAGAGCTTTTCTCTGAGTAGATGTGGCTCTCTAAAACAGAAAAAGGGGGTGGGGGCTCTGATGGGAGCAGGGGTAGGGCTTTGAGTCCTTCCTGCTCCCCGACAACCTTGCTTAGGCCATGAGGTTGCCTGGTACCCGGAGCGCTTGGTGGAGCATAGATCCTAAGTGCATGAGAACCATGCACATAGATCCTTCTGTGCCTCAGCTTCCTTCTCTGTGAAATGGGGCAATAGGATTGTGAGGAGCAGTAAACTGGACAGGGCTCAGCACAGAGTGAGCACACAGCAAGGGCCTCATGGATATCGGCAATAACGACTACTGGCCAGAGGGCTAAATGGGAACCTTCCAGCTTCACTCTGCTGACACCGAAACTGGCTTCCTAGCCCTGGCCGGTTTGGCTCAGTGGGTAGAGCGTCGGCCTGCAGACTGAAGGGTCCCTGGTTTGATTCCAGCCAAAGGCAAGTAGGAGGCTTGCAGGAGGCAGCCAATCAATGATTCTCTCTCATCATGGATGTTTCTATCTCTCTCCCTTCCTCTCTGAAATCAATTATATATATATATATATTTAAAAACTGGCTTCCTAAAGCTCAACTATGACCATGAGGCTCTCCCCTGTGGATAACTCTTCCGGTGGCTCCCCACTGCCCACCTGTGACTTGTCATCTCCTGAGCCTGGCATCTGCACCCTCCTTGGTCTGCCCCTGCTACCCTCTTCAGCCTCAGCAAATGTTTATGCTGGGCCAGGCACTAAGGACAGTGATGAGCAAGACAAGGCTTCATGGTCCTTCACAGGCCGGCAAGGAATGCAGAGAGTAACCGAGAGGTGCCGGTTCTGGGAACGCAGGCGGTAACACACAGGTGCCCAGAGCATTCATGGTGAGGCGTGACCTTGTCTGGGAGCCGGTATGAATTAGTCAAGTCTGCCAGGGAAGAAGTTTTGATTGAGCTGAGCACTGAGAAAGCAAAGATGGCAGGAGAAAGGCATTCTAGGCGAAGGGAACAGCTTGTGCAAAGAGCTGGCGGTGGGAGGAAACATGGTGTGTTCGAGCCGGGCTATTCCAAGTGTGGTCTGCGGACCAGCGCCGGGCCAACGTGCTCCTTACTCCTCTGTGATACAATGCTTCTAAACAGCGAGAGAGGCGTTTATACACTTTTGCAGCATTTGGCAGAGCAATTTCATATGTTGACTCTCAATAATCAAACACTGGACTTGTATTGTGCCTGCGTATTTTTGTTTTGTTTTTCTAAGAATTATTTTAAGAGTATTTTACAGAAGTATTGGTTCTTGACAGGTTTTTTTTAACAACTGGTCTTTCACCATAGATAGCTCGAGGAGCGCTGTGTTAGAGACACCAACAGGCGGCTTGTGGGGCTGAAGCAGAGAGAGGGCAGGGAAGCATCCCGTGCCACGCTCCGCTTGCTCTCACCCAGAACGCCCGAATTTCTGCTCTGCCTGAGAGACTCCTACACATCCCTCAAAGCCCAGTTCCAATGCTACCTCCTCCTCTTGGTTCCCACGGTCCTTGGGACGTCTTCTAACCCAGCACCAATCATGCTGCCATTATTGGGGTCAGGAGCTATGTCCTCATAAGACTGGGGATTCCTCAAGGGTGGGGCTACATCTGCTTTGTGTTCAAGGGAGAGTGAAGAGGTGAGAGGTATGCCCTGCAGCCAACCTCCCCAAGAAAGAGGACCTGGAATCCCCTTACTCCTGCTCAGAATCAAGTAACTAAGGCCAAATCAGAGCTGAATTTCTTAGCTTGAGGAGAAGGGGTTGGTAGGGATGAGGGGCGGGCATAAGGCAGGGGTGCCCTCTACCCTCCCCACGGGCTTCCTCTAACTTCTCCTCGGGGCTGCCCTCAGAGAGCCTTCTGCTGAGGGAGGGAGAGCCAAGCCACATGGGAGGGGCCTCAGCCCTGTGTCATACTTTCCCTGCCCCCTTCTCCTCTTAAGGTTCTGTGGGCCTCTGTTTCTAGGGTATCAATGAGGCAGAATACCCTCTCTTCTTCCTGCAACCCCACCTGCTGTCACCGCGCTCCAGTCCTTTAAGGCTAAATGAAACCCCCATGGGCTCCTGTGTGCCAGGGACCCCTCCCATGGGCAAGGGGGCACAGCGGGGAATTCCTGAGCTCAAATCCTAGTGCTGGCCATTTCTTGCTGTGTGACCGTAGGCGCACAGTCTCTCTCTGGGCCTCAGATTCCTCCACAAGTAAAGCTGGGACCATAAGTTCCCTCTCCAAGAGGTTGTGGTAAGGACAATGTTAACCAGCTTTTACGGAAAGGTTTTGAGTAGCCTCCTGTCCAGTAGTTTGAGAAGTTGTTTAGTTATTGAGAAGTGGACTTGAGCAGAAGTTGCGTTTCTGGAGCTGGAGACCGGCCTATGGCTTCAGTGCCTGGGTCTGCAGGGCCCTAGCGAGGCCCCAGGAGGCAGTGTGGTCCAGGGACCGCCAAGTTGTCAGAGGCCACTTAGCTTAAAAGTCAACGACCCGCCACCCCCACCCCCACTTTGAGAGTTTTGGTATCCATTGAATTGTTACAATAATACAACTAAAGGTAAATGTAAGGAAAACATCTTTAGCCGAATGTCGAATGTCGGGAAACAATTCTTCGTGGGTCACTTGCTTTTCTGCGTGTGTTGCACACGGAGGCACTGGCCGTCCTGGTTCCAGGCCATCTCGTCGTACAGTGAACAGCCTTGGGACATAGAGACGGTGTTCCTTCTGGAGCCGGGAAGGCGTGCGCAGTGCCCATTATAAAAGATTTGCATTCTCCAAGTTGGGACACCTCTTTTGAAAAACACCCCACTCTGTGCAAGTGTCACCTGGCCCTCACTCTATCACCCTGCGGGGATTGGAGTGGGAGAACCAGGGCAGGAACATGTAGGAACTCTGGCAGCTCTGAGTAATAAAGTCCTTTGTTTCTGACCCAGGAGGCTTGTGTCTTCTGCCAGCATGCATGAGAATGGCAAGCTAACTTGTTAGCTGACAAGGACGGTAACAAACAGCTCAGTCAACTTCACAGTCGTGACACCCACATGTTTGGAAGAAATTATAAGATAAAAAGATACTCTCAAAAGCGCCAGGGTATCTGGTCCATTCCAAAAGGCAAGCAAGAGAGCGCTGTGGTTCAGAACATCTCTGGACCCAGCGGGGCCTGGGTTCCAATCCCAGCCCACTAAGCACCGAGCTGAGCGGTAGGAATGGCACAAAGGGGCCTGGCTGGCTGGAGGACCGATCTCGCCTGCGCATGCCCATCCATGCCCTGGGTCCTGGTGGTTGCTGTTGGCACGGGCTGTGCGGTGACCCCGAGAGCTGGTGCTTCTTTCTAATCTGCCTATGGCGTGGGGTGGCGATGGTGTGAGCACAAAATTCCCATAAAGGATGCTACAGCCTTGAGGCTACCTGCCATGATGTGAGGGCGTGGGCCAGTGACCTAACCTCTCCACACCTCAGTGTTCTTTTCTTGAGGACAAAGACCCCGTATTTCATAGAACGGTTTAAACATATAGAGGAATAAGCTGTAACGAGAGCTTGGCACAACATCTGGCATGCAGGTGGTACTTGAATATGGGAAATATTATTACTAATTTAAAACAATAAAATGTCATGAAATTTAAAATGCCATGTAGAGGTGCCGACAGATGAACTGGTTTGGGTAAAATACAGAACACTGGACTAGATGGTCGGGGGCTATATATTCAGGGCAACTAGCCAAAGAATGCTGCCTCCATCACCTACGGACCCCATGGTCTTGGGCAAGGAGTGGCTGCCCTGCAGGGAGCCTCTGTTCCCTCACCGGTGAAATGGGGTGAGAGCAGCACCTGCCTTGGAGCGTGTGGACTCTCCACTGGCAGCCCAGCCTGGCGCCGGCCCATGCTGGTGCTCCCCCAGGTGTCCCCACTCCCAACCCAGAAAGTCTACCTTGAGGAGCTCGGGGGCCTGCTTCTTGAGCTTATCCATCTTCCACTCGTTCTCGCAGGGGTTGAGCGAGGAGGGCGGCGCGGTGCAGGAGCAGCGGCAGTCGGACCCCGAGCTCACGGTCTCCACGGTGTAGAAGTCCTCCACTCGCGCCCGCCCGCTGCGCACCCGGCTGCACGCGTCCTTGCTCAGCGGCCGCATGATGCACTTGCAGCGGCAGTCGGAGCCCTCCGAGGTCATCCGCACCTGGTCCACGTCTCCAAACACCTGCAAGAGGGGCTTCAGGTGAGCCAGAGGCCAGTGCTGGGGGGCGGGAAAGAGGAGAGGAAGGGGTAGCAGAATCCAGCTCCCCCACCCCATCCCCACCTTTGTGAAGGCGGTTAGAGATGGCTGAGAAGCTAGCATCCACTACAAGGAAATAGAAGGGTTATAATAATACTAATTAAAATATTAACAGCCGCTATGGAAAACAATCTGTTTCTCAATAAGTAAAATACAGAACTATCATATGACCCCATAATTCTACTTCTAGGTATATACCCCGAAGAATTGCAGGCAGGTATTCAAAGTCTTGCGCAGGCATGTTCATAGCAGCACGATTCACAACAGCTACAAGGTGGAGACAAGGCAAATGTCCACCCACTGCTGATGGGTAAATGAAATGGGGTACATCCATTCAGTGGAATCTTATTTAGCCATAAAAAGGATTAAGTAGCGATACACACGAAAGCATGTTTGCTAAATGAAAGAAGCCAGACACAGAAGACGACGTATTGTATGATTCCATTTATATTAATGTCCAGAATAGGCAAATCCAGAGGCAGAACGCAGAGTAATGGTTGCTAGAACTTAGTGGGAGGGGAAGGGGGAGTGACCGCTTAAAGGGCCCATGGTTTCCTTCCAGACTGGAGAAAATGTTCTGGAACAAAGTAGTGGTGGTGGTGGCACAGCATCGTGAATGCACTAAGTGCCACCGAGTTGTATACTTTAAAATGGTCAAAATGGTAAATTCTGTGCTCCTCCAAGAAGCCTTCCCTGACCACCCACCTCCCATTACTCCCTGTCCCTTTATCTAGTGTCTTTTTCCTTATTGCACCTATTACCATCTGAAATATATCTGTGTGCTTTTTTTTTTTTTGTCTCCTCTACTCTGCTGAAGGCACCATTAGAGGCAGGGACTGTGTCTAGTTCCCTTGTATATCCCCAGAACGGTGCCTGCCTGGCCTGGAGTAGGAGCTCTGTAAGTATCTGTTGGACAAACAGGCCTGCATTTTTCAGACACATGAGAGCACAGGGCTAAGAGCCTGGTGTCTGGAGCCTGGGTTAGAAACTGTGAGCCTATGGGCAACTCAGCCTTTCCGTTTCCTCATTTGTAAAACGGGCTCCGGCCTCGTGGGGCTGTTGTGAAGATTAAATGAGTTAATGTGGCCAAGAACAGAGCCCAGCACACAGTGAGTGCGCCTTAAGTGTGAGTCTTTATTAATACAGCTAAAGAAACAGAGGTTCGGAGAGGTGAAGTCACATGTCCAAGGTCACCCCGCTTTGACTGGAAAGATCTGGCGGCAGACCTGACTTCGGATCGAAATCACTGGTCTCTGCTGCTTCTATAGGCCTGTTCCCCCGCACCCTGTGTGACCCTAAACAGGTTACACAACCTCTCTGAGCCTCGTTCCCTCAGAGGGAGGGTGGATGACGCTCCACGCCCCGCCTCCTGGGAGTGAGGATCAAATGACATAACATGACCTCCATTTCATGGTTTCCCTCGCCTCCTCCCTTTTCTCTCAGTTCCCCCTGGGATGCTGCACACCCAAGAGTCTAGCTGTGTCACTGGTCACTGGGGCCAGCAGGACTCCGTGGCTGTGGGAGTCAGCTCAGTGAGCTCAGTGGCAGGTGCCACGCTCAGTCACCGCCTCCAGCCCACCTTGTCCTGATACACCAGCTGGGCACTGGGAGCCCCAACCAGCCACTCCCTTAGCTGCCTCAGCCCGTCCACTCTGAGCTCTGGGCTCCTGGGGCACAGCTGTTCCTGGCTCAGTTAACAAACACCCCGAGTCTCATGGCTACTCAGCTCTCACTGAAGCCACCGAGCCCAACTGAATTCTGGGCTCTCTGCCAAGCCCGGCACCCAGCAGTGTCTCCGAGCCCTCAGACACCTGTTTGAGCCCCTGGCCTCTGCCAGGCCCTGGGTGACAGCTGGAGGTGCAGAAGAAATAGATGGAGGGCGAAGCTGGCATAGTGAGCTCTGAGCACAAAGATACCCATGAACATTGCTCGCAGGAGGGTACCCCTTGGGGGCATCTTTAAGGAGGAGAAAGGCATTCCAAGCAAATCAAATCTGTAAAGACAAGCCTGGCATCTTGGGAGTCTGGGGGAGGGTCCCCCTGGCTGGTACTTGCAGGGAGCCTGGGTGGCAGGAGGTAAGGGTTGGGGTGGCAGAGCCTGGCTCATGGAGGGCCCTGAAACTGGGCTGAGGCTCTTGGCTTCTTCCTGAGAACAGGGGAGCATCATGGGAGGGTTTTCATCAGGGGGCGTCAGGATCAAATCCGCCTCATGGGAAGCTCACTCAGCTGCTTGGTGGACAGACGGTAGACGGAGGCAGCAAACCTGGGGCAGAGTCCACGGAGGAGGCATTTATTGAGAGCACACTGCGTGCTGGGGAGGGTGGGGCAATGGTTAGGAAGACAGCCATGGGCCACCTATAGCTGTGTGCTCTTGGGTGGATGACTTATCCGCTCCGTGCCTTGGTTTCCTCACCTGTAAAATGAGGACACTACGAGTGCCAACCCAACACAGGACTGCGTGGACTGAGACCGAACACCAGACTATGCTGAGTCCAGTGCCAGCACACACAGTAGTCTGGAGAGTGTAGCTGTTATTACACGAGGAATCCTGGATGGGGGTTGGTTGGCCGACTGTTTCTCCACGTGGGTGCACTGGTAGATATTCTTAGCAGCGTCCTACAGAGGAGGAAACTGAGCCCTAGAGCCATCAACTGACTTGTTCAAGGGGATTAGAACCCAGAATGGGTGGACTGCCAGGCCTTTGGGAAGTGTGGACAGTGGGAAAAGGAGGCAGCTGTGGGTGGAAGCTTTGTCCTGGGCCCCCAGTAGGCAAAGTGTACAGTGGGCACTGCAGGGTGACTCTCCCCTGCCCGTGACACCAACAGCCAGGCTTGGTGGCCTGAACATTCATTCCTCAGATCACCGCTAGCACCTTCTCCTCCTTGGAGACTCCGGGGCCCCCTTCCCAGCTCGCCACTTCCACCCACTCCCCCAGGTGGAGCTAAGAGCCTGGCGGGTGGATGTGGGTGCGGTCTGTGTGGTCAGGCCAGAGAGGCCTCCTCCTTGGGAACCAGCCATCATCCCAACGCCCACCCCACCCACCCCAGCAGCAGCCTCCGCATCGGACTGCAACATTCCTTCCCTCCGCAGATGAGGTGCTATGTCCTGATGGGGGCAGCCAAGGCCTGGGCCCTGCAGGAGTCGGAAGAGGGCCTCTGCTCTCAGCCGCCCAGGCAGGGCCTGACCTCTGGGGACTGCCGTGTCCTTGATGCTTGTTTGGATGAGGCTGAGCTCCATGATGAGGAGCCAAGCCCGGACTCAAACCCCAGCCCCCACATCTCCTCCCTGCAGGGCCTTGACCCTCGAGACTCAGCTTTCTCCTCTGCTGTGGGGAGGCAACAGCCTTTCCTCGTAAACTTGTCCTGAGGCTGCAATGAGTCAATGCGTGCGGAGTGCCTGGCACCAAGCCTGGCACAAGGTGACTGCTCCCTAGTGGCACTTGCTATTAGAGCTGCTGCCAACAACCCTCCCTCACGCTTTCTACCTCTCCTTGCTCTCACCACGCCCCATCTTAGAGAGGAGAGAGCTGAGCACCAGAGAAGACTAAGGGCTTGCCAAGGGTCACACAGCACAGCCTGACTCCCAGGTCTGTTTTACATGCTGTTCCTCCCATGACCACCCGGAGTCACCAGGCAAGGGCTTCTCTAGCACCTGGGACACAGAAGGGAGCATAGGACCTGGGGCTCCCACCAGGCCTGACCCACCCTGCCCTCGGCATGAGGGCAGGAGGTGCTGCCAAGCAGGAAACCCCTGCCTCAGCCCCCCATCTCTCCCTGCAGCCTGGCTCAGCACACACTGCCAAAGCCCCCAGAAGTGGGGGTGGACAGTGTTTAAAAAGGTCCCTAGGTATTTGCAAGGAAATCCCACTGTGAGATGGCGAGAAGGCGTAATTGAGATTTTTCTGAAGAGAGATGGAGAAATCTGACTGGAATTGGGAAGAGGGGGTTCAAGCTGTGAAATGTTCTAGAACTGGAACAGGCTCAAATGGTGACACCTTGAGGTCTTCCCTCTTCTCTCATGCCAGCTTCCATGTCCTCCTGCAGCAGAGACCTCCCTCCCTCCCGTAGAGCTCACTGGCAACTGGACACCTCTCCCCGGATGCCCGCAGGCATCCCTAACTTCATCCATCCGAAACTGGACCCAGCCTCTTCTCCCAGACCCAAGTCTAACCCTCCTGCCCAACCCAGATCTCTGAGCCTCCTTTTTTTTTTTTTTTTTTAATCCTTACCCGAGGATATTTTTGCATTGATCTTTAGAGAACAGGGGAGAGAGAAACATCAATGTGAGAGAGACACATCAATTGGTTGCCTCCTGCATGAATCCCAACTGGGGCCGGGGATCGAACCTGCAACCAAGGCGTATGCCCTTGACTGGGAACTGAACCCGTGACACTTCAGTCCTCGGGGCAACTCTAACCACAGGGTAAAACCAGCCAGAGCGGAGCCTCCTTCTTACTCTGGACACCCCATCCGCCATGTTCTTCTGATTCTTCATCCAAAGTGTTCCCCATCTCTCTCCCTTGCTCTCCACTCCACAGCAACAGCCTGATTCAGGCCACAGTAACTGCTCTCTGGCAGCATAGCAGCCTCCTCTCTGCCGGATTCGTCTTCCGAGAGCTCCTCTCTGCTGACCTGTCACTCTCTTCACAGACCTCCATGGCTCCCTGTCACCTCCATGAGTCCTCAACCAGGGGATGCGCCTCAGAGTCACCGGGGCCCACCTGGAGAATGCAGTTGCTCATGCCACACCCCCTGACAGACTCTCGGGCCCCCCAGGCATCTGAATGCCCACTAAGGGCCAAGAACCATGGAACCCCAGGAGTCCCTGAACTCCTCCCACTCCCTGTCCAGGACATTTGGGCAGCCCCACCCTGACTCCTTTGCCCCTCAGTGTTCGAGTCTGTCAGACAGGGAGGGACCACTGACGCCTCAGAGTGTGGGCAGGAGGGCTGTGTAAGATCCTGAATGTCAGTGCTAGCTAGCGTGGGGGGCACACAGGATGTTTCTCGGGGCTTTGTCCTGGGCCCCCCAGACAACAGGGGTGTTGGGGGAGGTCTTCCCTGCAGAGAGACCCTGCGGGGCTGGCCCCACACTCTGTGTGCGGGTCTCCATCACTGCCTCCCTGGCCTGCTCGGAACCTGTTTCCAATTACACCCACAGGCGGAAACTCCTGGAGCGGAGGCACAGCAACACCTAAGCCCCCGGGACCAGCCTGGTCAGGACACCGCCGCCTGCTCCAGCCCCTCCTGTTCCCCTGGCCCAGTTCCCTCCAGTCAGGGCCTTCCCCTGTGCTCAGACCTTGGTCCGTGGTGGGGCTGACCAAAGACCCCCTCCCCACACCTGAGTGCAGGG